TCTAAATAGATATTACGTACCAAAATGCGAAACTTATACACCACAAAATGGATATATAGGCCTGAAATGAAATTCTTTCTTGTTCTTGATCATACGTTGCCTAGCACGTGACCAAAATCTACCCAGGTGGAAATCCAAAATGTCGGTGGCAGTCTTGGCTTAGTTATGTCACTCAAAACTCGTTCCCGTTTGTCTCATTTGATAAAGAGGGAATCATTATTTTTTTCTCGTTAAGACAGTATTGCCTTGATTTTCCAATATTTACAATGATAGACAGTAAATTTCACTTTTCACCCACATTTACTTCCAACCTTTTCTATTGAAACAGAAACACAAATGATATATGTATGTTATTTGCCGGCTGGGGGGTCCGTATGGTGAAAAACATTTCAAGACCGAGGTCACAGTTTTTCACCGTACGGACCGACCCCTTAGCCGGTAAATAACTTCTTTTTTTTAACTTGACGAAATTCTTTCCGAAAGAACCCGAATGATTTAGGGCTGTAAATATGGCAAGATCTTTCATAAACTGAACAATTTTTGAGCGAGTAAATGGTAGTTAAAATAGAGGTGATACAAATTAAAAAGAGATGCCTCACCGAAACATTTTCATTTCCGTAACGATAAAGGTGATTTAAAAGGCTTCCAAACAAACTTTGAAACATTATTTTTACAAGTATCTGTCACAATCTTACACCTGTCAATTAGGGAGCGTATAAGAAATAAAAAAGCGCAAGAACATTTGAAAAACAACGGAACTGGTTTGGCTTGGACTGTAACGACAACGTTTTCTTCAAAAACGGTCAATGATCTAACAGAAAGTATTATTCACTCTTATCGACGATTCATTCATGAACGAAGATTTACCTGTGTTCATTAAGTAAACGGCGAGGAAAGTAAATGCGAGTAAATTCAATTTTTGTTATTTTGAAGTTGTGAGTTTGTTCGTTTGTTTGCTGCAATGGCGTGTGTAAATCTGGTCTTTCCTCCTAAAAAACTACATTCGAATGGCACACTCCAACGAAACAAACGGGGATTTAATGCGGCCTTTTCTCATTGAACTCCCTCAATTTCTATTGTGCAATTCACGGTACAAATGTCCAAATTGAACGGACTTGGAAAGACTCACCGAGAGCATGAATTAGTTGTAGAACTTAAATTAAAACTTCACTCGCTCTTTTACTGCGAACAAATCGTTTGAGAAAATTCAGATATTAAATTAATAAAAGTTACATCGTTTAGTTTAACTGTAACCAAATACTTCACGTTTTAACTTAGTATGAACTTTTTGTGAACGATTAAAATTAACTGCAGACGGTTCTTAGGCCGCTTGTCAACCAACGTAATTGACACCATTGCTTATACAAATCCATTCTGAAACCAATATTTTTCTGTCGACCAAAGTGATTTGAGTCAGAGAAAACAGAGGATTCATAAGTTATTTATTGGCTTAAGGTTGTGACCGATGTGTTTGCTTAAAAATACTGCACAGCCGGAAAAACGAGATATATTTATGAAAAATGGCAACGAAAGTTGGGATGTACTCGGCGACTCACGAAAGCGTTACCGTGGCCCGTGGGCAGGATAGGAAAATACCAACCGGGTAAAGAACCAATCAGATTGCAGGATTCGTTACTGTGCCCTCTAAAAAAAAAATAAATGTTTAAAATACATGACATCATTCTCCCTTGTCAAATGTAATAGCATGATCATTTCAATTGTAATGCCTTCTTATCCCAACGTTACTTTGTTTCTTTGCTAAATTAGTGAACACTGAACTACTCCTCGTACTCTAAATATGACAATCAACCACAAAATTCCCTAAACCAGATAACCTTAAACATAATCCAAAAAATTAGATAAGTCATCTGTCAATTCACGAGTTTGCTCACAGAGCACTTTGATTGTGTCTAGTGCGTAACACCTAGACACCTTGCAAAAGCGGTAAGAGATTGAGTGTCAACAAATGACCTAATGCTTTATTGGTTTTTGTAGCTTACTGCTTAAAGAGGCGTAAACTGCTATGGTGTCTTTCTGAGTAAGTGAGTGTAACAACGGAATCGAGCCCACAATTAACTCTGCCGATTTTGATCCGATATTCCCCGATCTTAACTCCTTTTTGAATCTACGGACTTCTGTGAAGTCGTAGATACTATGCTATCCAGAGTGTAAGTCCTTCCGTATGTCCATAACAATGGAAACCTGCGGATAATGCTCGGAATTCAGTTCGGTCTTCTCCAATATCGTTCGATTTTCGTATCTCGCGTCAGCGATCGTGATCGCAATTTTTTGTCTCCTGCAGGTTTTGTGTCGCATTGCTGCGATTCTTTGCACCGCCAAGGAAATATTTGCCCACCCCAAAGGAGTTCAGCCGTCGTATTGCTGCGATTATTTGTTCCGCGATTGATTATTTTAGTCAAAAATCGAAATGAAAGATTAAAATCGCTAAATATTCTCGCATGTGTGCAAATAGGCATGTGGATCAAATTTCAAAGTGAATTATGCATATTTTTTTTCGTGTGTGAGAAAATCTCAAGTTTCATGGTATCTATAAATAGGAAGCAAGAGGAAAACATCGCCAGAAATCAAGGACATTTCGAGAACACTAACAATTATCAGCGGTATATCGTATTACACTCCGGAACAATAGAGTATCAAGAGAATTCAGTATGGCGGCGATCACGGCTCGATCTGCAAAGAAGAGTGTTTCGTACCATGAGTTATACAATTTGAGCACCGCAGATCTTCTATTTGATGAAAAGAAAAAGAAAAGAAGACCTGCAAGTAAATCTTTGGGATTTTTCGAGGCAGAGCGTTGACATGATGTCCGAATTTTGATTTGCTTTAATTTAATTTTCGCGCTGAGACCACTGAATTTGCATTCAATGCCTGGCATATTTTTATTCCGAAAAGGACCTGAGAACTCATTTATTTCCCTGCAATATCATAAACAAATAGGGCCGACGATTCGAAGATCAGCGTTGCTCGTGTTTAAATATTTCAGTCATAGTTTTCAACATGGCGTCTCGTCACTTACTCAACATGGAAAATAGGGGATATTCTGGCGCGTTGGGAAGTTTTTTGATGGGAGGAAATGGCAATTTTACAGGATATTTGGACGCTTCGAACTCTGTAGCAGTCAATTCGATCGAGAGCAGTTGACTTTATTGATGCACTTTCGTGTAATAGGCGAGTGTTTGGGATGGAGAACGACGGATTTTGAAGAACTGTATGGCGACCTAGGTCAATGATCAATGACAAAAGAACTGGCTCGGGAAGTAAGTGGTTTTTATTTATCGAGTCCCTGTGAGGTTTGATGAATACTGTCTCGATCGAGAGCAGACGGGACCATGAGCTCCTGATTGTTATATTTTAGAAATTTTACAAATTTCCATACAGTTTCTTATATTATTTGGACGCCATTATGGACGAAATGCGCAAGCGCGGCCGCCATCTTGTCTAATATTTCTGCCGATGATGACCAAGAGATATTTCGGGACGACAGTTTTATTCAAGACAATTCTTGATTTGCTGTTATAAGCGAAAAACGTTTGAATTTCTTACGTGCACAAAACCCACGCCGTAAAATTCATCATGCTTAGATCGTTGTTTCGTTGACTTCACGGCAAGAAATTGCGTAGCGTTATGATGAAAATTCTGAAAGTACTACAATTTGACATAAAATCTTCTATTGGATTCTATTCTATTATACTGTTGGGTATTCGGTTTACAGCCACAATTCGCATCGCTTTAGAGAACCGTTGTGTCGTTGACTCGAGAGTTTGTTCAGTCACCTTTAAGACCTTGACGTCCATTATTTTCCAAACAGAGTATTCTGTAGCATTCCTACTTTATATGCTGAGTTCCACAAGGTCTAACTCGATTGCAAAGGAACGAAAAATCCGACTTAAATATTTTGAAGGTCGGCCGTTTCATTTTCAAATATTTGATCATTTAGAGTGAACGCACAGAATAATGCCCCTTTAATACCCCCTAAAGCCATCAACATATTTTTGCAAACGAAGGATTCTGATTGGTTTTTTTTATCTCCTAACGATAGAGGAAGTTTGGGGACAAAAATTCTACTTATTAAGGGAGGTAGGGGCAGTTACGGGTGGTTCAGGTGTCAATGTGTTAGCATATTATATTTACACTAATAATATATTTGTTTCGTTCATCGCGGAAGTTGCATTTTTGGTTGCACTATATCTTGAGTTGTGAGTAATTTCTAGTGTCGTTTCAGGGCGGTTAAATATGGTATTCTAAGTAATAACAGGTGCAGTAAGCTATATGCAGTCATCGACTGCCTATTTTTTGTGAAGTTTACAGTACTTGTCAAGATACATGAGGTAAGCGATCATCTCGTAACACAAATTTTACGAGAATGCGTAACCAGTGAAGTGGCGTAACCACTTGGATATTTAGTCATGAGATCTGTCGTGTTAAGGCGGATATCCTTATTTGTTTAGCAAAACTCCTGAGGCAAACAAAGGAATATTCGGAATCGAAGAAGAAAAAGTTGTAGAGGACAATGTGCTTTGTCAACTGTCGCGTTTTAAGGGGGGGCTGAGGTGGCGAGGAAAGTTTATCATTTGGCAAGTAAACCAAACTTTTCTAAGATACTCATACCTGCTCTCGCCTTTATAATTGATCTTTTGTAGTTTGTTAATCGTCACTTTGCTGTTAATCGACACGTGGTTAGCACCGGCCATAAGGTTAGTATAGAGTTAACAGATTTTACGACTTTATTTTCTGCACGAGGATCCACCCCCAATTACCAAGACATTGTATAGTTTTGTATTTTCCTTTCGTTTTAACTTTTAGATTCTCTGAAGTCGTTTAATCTTAATTTCATTTTGTAAGACTTTTATTGGAACGCCCCAAATATGCGCGAAAAGTCGTCGCAAATTGTACCTAAATTGTATCTATCTTTGTTTTACAGAACTAAATATTTGATGGAAATTCACATGTTGAAATCTGTGCGATTTATTCATATCAAAATGGGGTGACCGCCTAATAGAGCTGAAAATGATACAAAGGGGCAAACAAAACTCTCGGGACTTTGAACACCGACCACTTGATGCGGGGTGACAGCATCATACAGTGCTGCTTAATACAGTTCGACTGTACGTTTTGTCAGTTATCCACCAACAAGCAGAACTCTTGTTGCGATGGTTCCCTGTACAAGACTGCTTTTACATAAATCTGACATCTGTAATTCATAACCTTTTTATTATCTTCTGAGCCAGAGGTAAAAGAGGGAGGCTTAAAATGAGTTATCACAGGCTATATTCACAAACTGTTTTA